AAACTTTAATTGACACAAGTAAAGAGGCTGGTCTAGAAGTAAACACAGAGAACTAAGTATATGTTAATAAGATCTGAGTATATGTTGCTGTCTCATCACCAGACTGCAGGGGAAAATCATGACATAAAGATAGGAAACAGATGTTTTGAAAATGTGGCACAGTTCAGATATTTGGGAATGATGATAACAAATCAAAACCTGATTCAGGAGGAAATTAAGAGGAGATTGAATTCGGGTAATGCTTGCTACCATTCAGTCCAGAACCTGTTGTCTTCTCATCTGCTGTCCAGAAACATAAATATTAGAATATACAAAACTATAATTTTGCCTGTGGTTCTATATGGGTGTGAAACTTGGTCTCTGACATTAAGGGAGGAACATAGACTGAAGGTGTTTGAGCACCGGATGTTGAGAATATTTGGAACGAAGAGAGATGAACTGACAAGAGGTTGGAGAAAACTGCATAATGAGGAGCTTCATAACTTGTACTCTTCTCCAAGTATAATTAGAATGAGGACGTTAAGGAGGATGAGATGGGTGGGGCATGTAGCACGAATGGGGGAAGACTAAGGCATAGCTGGGTGGACAATATTAAAATGGATCTTAGAGAGATAGGATGGGGTGGTGTGGATAGGATTGATCTAACACAGGATAGGGAACAGTGGAGGGCTCTTGTGAACATGGTAATGAACCTTTGGGTTCCATAAAATGCTGGGGAATTCTTGAGTAGCTGCAGAATTTGTGGCTTCTCAGGAAGGGTTCAGCTCTGTGAGTAAGTAAGTGTGTGTGTGTGTGTGCATGGAATGACTGATCATATCTGTATGAAACTTGGTATATATGTGTCATGGACACCTGAGCCCAATTGAAGAGCAAAATTCATAGATATCTCCCATTTTACCAGCATTACCATGTCTCATATTTTTGAGGCAAACCCTAATTATTCCTTGAATGTCTTTACCAATCTCCATTTGACTGGGCATGTATATCATGTTACATGAATCCATCTCAGCGTCCTACCTCATAGAGCCCACCCTTCAGTAATATCAACATTACAGCCAAGAGAAAACCTTATTATTGCTTGAATACCTGTACCACTCTGCTTGAACTTTGTATGTATATATCTTGCAACCAAAGCCTTTCTCAGTGGTGTATATCATAAATCTCATGTTGGAACCCCCACATACTAACATGCAGCTTCGTCTGTCTAACAGACAGCACTCAACTTCTGCTCAAGCCAAGTCAATGTCACATTGTGGCCAACACTTGATGTCCAGCCCACATGTAGATCATCACGTTGGGGTCACCAGTGTGGGATGTCCTTGTTCTAAGAGACAACCACATAAAACTATAACAATTGGATATATTATTCTCAAAAGTAGAGAATAGTTGTTCACAAGTTTTCGGGCCCTGAAAAGGGTCGTCTGTTCGACCGTGCTTGCGCTAGTAGCGTTAGCTGATTTTAGCAGACCAGGTCTTCTTTATGGCCGTTCAGCTGGTCTGGCTGGCCGGTGATGCGGTGCTGCATGCGCCGGTAGGAACAGCTGCCTATGGTGCAGGAGATGACGGAACCGTTGTCTCGGCACATTTGCTGTAGAGCTGTTGCTGCTTCATGACATCAGAGTAGCTGCGTTAGCTGTCTTTGTTGTAGTGAGGACGATCAAAGAACTGATGATAGCATGTTTTGAGCTCCGCCTTTTATACCATGGTTGTTGGGCGGAGCTAAAATTGAAGCTGCGATTGTGAGCGCTGATTGGCTAGCGCATGTGATGATCTACAGGTTGGGCTGGACGTCGAGTGCTGTATAAAGACGAGTGCTGGCCGCAATGTGACATTGACTTGGCTTGAGCCGAAATTGAATGCTGTCTGTTAGACAGACGAAGCTGCGTGATAGTATGTGGGGGTTCCCACACACTCATCACTCATACCACCACTACAGCCTGTCAAATTGTTGATGCAATAGATCGTGTTGTCATATTTGGTATTATATCATGCCACCCGAGGCCATCTCAGCGGCATGTTGAGAAATCCATCTCGTCTATATCACCAACACAACATTCTCTCAGGTTTTTGAGGTAATGAGACTAGTATTACATGAATTCCTGATGTAATTGTAAGGAAACTTGGTATGTGTATCATGCCACGTTACATCACCTTAATGGCCTACTTCGTAAATCCTTCCAGTTAGTAATACCAACACTGCAGGCCCTCAGAATATTTAGGTAATAACCTTCATTTTACCTTAATGCCTAAACCAGTCTTCATGAAACTTGGTTGATATATCATTCCATCTGAGGCCATCTCAACAGTATACTTCATACATCACGCCCCTCAGTAATGCCAACACTGAAGCCTCCAAAATTATGTTGTTGTAATGACTTCATTACGTATACATACCAAAGTTTTCTTTCTACTTGTATCAGATTCTCAAATTACAGTGAAAGGAAAGTAGGTGACCAGTTCTTCCAAGAACTTCTTGTTATTATTATATTATTGTGATGATGATGATGATGATAATAATAATAATAATAATAATAATAATAATAATAATTTTTTGGATAAGATTTGAATCCAACTATCCAAATTTTTGCGTACCCAAACCAGTTTTGTCACTAATTAATTCAGATGACCATCATTCTACTGCACTTATTTTTAGGCTGAAACATTTATAACTGCTGACAGGAAAGGGAATCCATTGCTTGGAATAAGAAATTTTGAGAATTTAACTGAAAATCATATTTAGGTAAATTTTCATAGGACAGGAAAAAAATGAACTGCAGATTTAGGGAAAATATAAAGTTGTGGAAAACATAAACTAAATTAAAATTTTGTGTTGCTGTTATGGGCGTTGGACTGGGACCATACAGCAGACTGCATAAATTTGCAAAAAAGAAAATGCTAAGTCTAGATGTGTAAAGTGGAAATTTCACTGTATAAAATCACAGATAAATACTCCAGTGGAAGGACTATGAAAAGTAGTAGTTATCTCCTGATTAGGACATGACATTTGCCTGAAGGGACTGAGGAAAATACAAGAAGTATCAGTGTCAGTATCCTGACTGAGATTTGTGCTGTGCAGCTTCTAAATATGAGTCAGAGGTTTTACTGCTTGAAGCAGCTCTGTTTGGTGCTTAGATTTAATTCATATTAATACATAATTGATTTGCTTAGAACAGAGTGCTGAAAGAAGTATGTGGACCTAAGGACATAATCCAAGGAATGGTAAAAATAACATAATTTTTACCTGTCACCTAAAATTATTGGGATGTTTAGAAAGATGAGAATGGCAGAGTATGTAGCATGAGGGAGGAACAAGAAAATATGTACAATTATGTTTGTAAAGCCTGGAAGGAAAAAATACCAGATAGGATATTATTAAAATGGGTGGAATTGTGTTAAAGGATATAGATGTGAACTGGCATACCGCAGTATTGTAATCGTGGTGGTGAAACTTTGGGTTCCATTACAGAGAATATCTTGATCACTTGACTAGCTGCAGAATGTTCAAGGAAGATTCTGTAGCACGTAGATAGATGTGGACGGTATGTTCAAATAGAAGTTATAAGCAGAACTCATAAAGCACATTTTCCAGTTGCATAGACTTCTGATCCTCTTTTGTCTGTTACTGTTGTTATTGTTTTGTGCATGCCATTGCTTGCATTCAAAGGGCTTGTTACTACATACTGAGGGTGTTTGAGAACAGGTTGCAGAGGAGAATATTTGGACCTGAAGGGGATGAAATAGTAGGAGACTGGAGGAAACTGTGTAGTGAAGAGTGTCATAACTTCTACTCTTTCTCAAATATGATCAGAATGAGAAAGTCAGGGAGGGTGATGTTGGCAATGCATGTAGCATGCATGGAACAGAAGAGGCATACAGACGGTGTTGGTGGGAAAGCCGGAAGGAGAGAGACTACTAGGGAGACATAGATGGGATGGTAATATTAAAATGGACCATGGGGCATGGGGGAGTATGGAGTGCTTTAATCTGGTTCAGGATTGAGACAGTGGTGGGTCCTTGTTATTTTAACTGTTGAGTATTATTAATTTGGTTCTTCAAATATACTGGCTGATCAAGAATTGCGTTTTTTTTTTAGGATATAGATTTTAAGGTGTTAAAGTAAGTTCTACTGGTGATGCTAACATTTCATATGTGTGTGTACTCCATGTTGTTATTACTGATTGTAGGAAGCTGAAAAGTACGTCACTGATGTGGCATCCAGTGGTGTAACATTTGTACCACATGTCATGAAAATTAGTTGAGTGATACGAAAGTTGCTAAACCACACACTCACACATGCACACATACATTGTTCTCAAAACCTAAAGAAAGGAAGGTAGGCTAGAATACAGTATTATATTGTAGCATCCTGTTGCACTTTTTACTAAGTGTTTTTACAGTCTCTTGTTCAACATTATGTTCTGTAAACTTTTAATAAAAGTTTATAGGACATTGGGCGAGGAAACTGCCCAATAATTTGAACACCTGATGATGACCACATTGGTCGAAACATGTGGTGCTTAACTTTTAAAGTGAATAACTTAAAAGTTTATAGAACATTATGTTGCATGTGAGACTGTTAGAAACTAGTCGGCACTAGAATACAGTGTATAGCTATGGGATTTGGGAATAAGTTGCATAGAAAGCTGAAGGTCTTCTGATTCGGCAGATATTGCTTTTGGTATCTTTGTGGGAGGGGGACAGGGTGCAGAAACTGTTATACAGATCTGAGAGTGGGCAGTGGATGGGAAGTAAAGGCATGATTGGAAGATGGAGAGGAGTGGGGTGCTGTCTGATAGGGAGCAGCAGCATGGCTGAGGAGAAGTTTTAAGAAAAGTTTAATTGACCTCATGATTAGGAAAAGAGGTGACAATGATAAGAGAGTATGATTTTGATGCTACAGTGCTATTTGCATAGAAACTATGATTAGTAGAAATAAGGAGGTGGAATAAACTGGAATCTTGAAGCATTTTTAAAATACTGTTCTCTGCTGTCCATTTCAGGATGCTCAGTCTGTGGTACAGCTGGGGTTCAGGATGGAGGAGATGGTGTTCAACCTCGCTGATACGCATTTCTTCTTCAATGACGTTGAGGTATGTAACATGTAAGTCCAGAGTCCACAGTGTGACTCCACTGGCAGTGTCATGACTGCTGCCTGTTCATGCGGCTGATTGGCAGTCTAGTTACAAATATCATAGAAGATCAGGGTTGAAGAAATATTTTCAATTTTTATGGATAGGAAAATTTCACGTTTTCAGCTAATTTGACATAATGTCCTATTACATAATTCTTTGCTCCCCAGACATTATAAAATGGAGTAAAGTTAACCTTTGAAGCCTGAAATTCATTAAAGGAATGTTTACTAATTCATAATGTACCTTACTGAAGACACTGAACACCATTACAAATACCAATCTTGTAATATTGTCTAGGGAAATTGTCACTGTTCTGAGAATCATATGGGACACACAAATGTACTGTTAGGCAAAATGCAGTGTGTGTGAATGTGGTACATATAGTTACTACTATGATTAAAGTCTGGAAATGGTATTGCATCTTCTAAGTAGTGAAATGTAGTAAAAGCACATACAAATATTCAGAAAACCTTGACTTACACACCACATTGTGTTCTGATTAGATGAGCAGAGATTTGTTATATTGTATATACAAATGAAAATTAATTTTCAAAACTTAAAATTTTGTATTACCAGTTCATATGAATTTCCAGATTTGAAATATGGAAGGGGTTTAAGAGGTTTCGTATCTCATAAAAGCCGAAAGCTTTCTTGACTATCCTTATTCTACCCACAACAGAATAAGTAGTAGTAGTTACAGAATGGGCTGCCAGGTGGCAGTTAGAGCTGTACCTTTGCTTCAATTGGCATTGTGGTTACAGTCTTTGCCAAAAACAAATTTCCTTTTTTGATAGCTTATATATTCATCAAAATTGTGATTTAGTATATACAAGAAGTGTGGATCAATAGAGGGGTTGTTGGTGGAAATTGTAGCTAGAAATTAGAATTATTATGAAAATTCCACCCACATTTCACATTTGAGGCTATTCAGAATAATATGCAGCTGTGTACTGGCAGAAGGAAAGATGATGATATATGTGAGAAATATGGCGTGTGTGGTCACCAACTGTTACAGTTTGATGAAGTTGTGATTGAGAAAAGTATGTCTCCGTTTTCTAGTGGTGAACTAGATAATGGTTAGTGTGATTTTCTGCTGGCAGATGAAGAAAGTGAGAGGTTAGATATTTTTGATGAAGTTGTTTTTCTATAAGCAAGCTTTTACAGAAACATTTCATCTAGATAGAAGTAGCATATTTTATTTAACAAAGTTTGGTATTTTAGTAGAAATGCATTTTGATGTTTATTGTGGCCAATTTTATGAGAAAACAGTTTGTTCATGGTAATAGTTCAAAACTACTCCCTAAAATGCCGAAGTAAATTTAGTGATAACATTAAAAAAAGACTCAAATTTTAAGGAAAATTAATGCTGGTTCACAGTGTAGATCAGAATTCTAAGTATGCCATGACAGATGTTATGGCATTGAAGACTGTGCGCACACTACAGAGCAAAATTTATTGCTAGAAGTAGCAGCCAGCTCTTTATCAGCTACATAGATTTTTTTTTTTAAATTGGATGTGAATGATAAGAACATTAACATTTGCTGCTAAAGAGGCAATTTTTGCCTACCAGACAGCTGTTCACTGTTTAAGTTTTAAAGCATTTGATTGCACTTCAAAATTGATACCAAATTTTGTAGACCAGAGTTGAGCATTGCATGAACAAAGTGCAAAGCTGTTGTAAATGTAATTGTACCACTGTGCAGTGAGGAACTGTATGCAGAGTTAAACAAATGTAATTTTGCATGTATCACAGTTGATATTTCTAACAAATTATATAAAAATGGTACCTGCGATAGTGTGCCATTTTGTACCACAAGTAGCTAGATGTAAAAGTCTGTCCCAAGGGAAACATCAGAAATATTAACTGATCACCTGCTTTCTGTTATCAAGGAACATTAACCTGAGGAAGAACATAGTAGGATTTTGTGGCAATAATTGTAATACAAATTCTGGAGGTGTAAAGAGAATTGTAAAAACAATGTGTTTTTTGTGTAGGGTTTGAGGTGTTCACAGCGGTGACTGTGAAGAACGCTGTCTTCTGGGATGTGGTGCTTTGTAGATCTTGTGTGAACAAATCGCATCTGGTATCCTTTGCGCTTCCAGTGACTCTTGGTTCCACACAAGATCTACAGAGCACCACATCCCACAAGACGGAATTCATCACTGTATTTTCTTTGTTTAAAAGAGGAATCAGTTCAAAGTATAATTGGAATGGGATGCACAGCATGCATAGTGCACAGTTGCATTCAAAATGCAGTTGATGTTTCACCATTTGATATCAGAAGTGTGTTGTAAATATTTGTGAACACTTCTTTGTATAAGCTGTTTTGTTACGCAGTTAAAAAAAGAGTTTTTTATTTTGTTTGTGTGGAGTATAAAACAATGCATGCAGTAACAGGAGCAAAACACAACACAGAACATGATACACAAATATATGTAGGAAGAATGCTCACATAAAAGAGGATTGGCGTAATTCGCGTGTTTGAGCGCGACATAGGAAGAATCCTGAAAAGTTTTATTATTTAGAATTCACATTAGTGCTGAAACATGTAGTATGGAAGTGAAGAATAAGGTGAAAAAGTGTATACACTATAAGACGGTCAGCATAAACCATGGAGTATAAAAGGGTTTTCCAACATGGCAGTACTAGGTTTCTGTTACTTGTTCAGTTATAAATAGGATACTTCATATATTTTAAGGCCTAAAAAGTTATTTTATTTATAAAGAAGAGTGCCCCTTACTACAGGAAGTTTTTTTGAAGAACCATGCAGGGTGTTGCGGCGTGACGGGGGGGCGTGGAGGTACCTCCACCGCTTCCGCCACTGTACCTCTCTCTCTCTCTAGCTCCCCCTCCCCTTATCCCCTGCCGG